ATCCTTCTTCATTCTCTTTCTCTTTTCTTCTTTCATATCTTTCTTTTTCTTCCTCATATCTCTGTGTCTGTGTCTGTGTCCTGTGTCTGTGTCTATGTCTGTATCTGTGTTTCTCTCTCTCTCTCTCTCACAAAATCATCTTTTCTTTGAATACATTGACATCTTTTCCATATACAAGAATTTCTACACCAAAAAAAAATGTATTTATTCTCTAAATTCATTTTCTAATGCAATAAGCCATGTACTTATTCAGAATCTACACATTCAAAATTATTGGTTTATTATGTTTAATATGTAATTACCATTAAAACATCAAAGTTATCATTCTAAACCACTTATATCTGCAATGTAATAAAACAATATATTTTCCTTCATTTTTGGTGTCTGTTAGCTTTGTTCTTCCCTTACTCCCTTCCTATTTTTTAAATGTGAATTTCCTTTGAGTTTGTGATATTTCTTTACTCCTAGAAATCCATTTCTCAATGACCTAGGACACTTTTTTTTGTCTCCTTTGTATACGTGCTCCTTCCTCTACACAAACCATTCTTTTGCTTTCATTTACTGCTTAATATCCCAATGAGGTACCCTTCCATACACTCTTACGTAGACATACCCAATGTTAAGTTAATGAAAAGTTAAGGGTAACATAAGAATTCAATTCTCATTCCTATACAAAAAATACAACTAACAATCCATAGCAGATCAAAATGCCTAAAAAACTAGCTAAGAATCTGAATATTACTTCTAAGAATTTAAGATTTACACTGTTACTCCCTTTCCTCCTTCCCTTCTCTATTCCACTCTCTCCTTTCTCTTTCCTTCTCACATCCCTTTCTCTCTCTCCCTCTGTCTCACTTTCTATTTCTCACTCTCTCTATTCCCTTTTTTCTCTATACCACTGTTTTCTCTCTATTTGATTTTTGTTCCAAATGGTTTTAAACTTTCTTTATTTCCTAAATTTTCTATTTTTTCTTTATTGTAGTTTCATTCTATCATCCTCATTTTCTCACTTACATAAAAGTCAATCTCCTTTCACAAAATGCAACTACTTACAGCAGGCATCTATCAGTCATCAGTAATTAAGGTTGTACATAAAACTTTCTTCAACAACTTTGGAAGCATCTTCATCAAGAACTGCTGAAATGGTACTTACCAGTATATATACTTCCAAAACTATCCGTCTTTTCTTTTTTCCAGACCTGAATAACTCAACATCTCCATCTGTCTCTCTGTCTGCTGGTCTGTGTCTGTCTGTTTCTGTGTCTGCCTATGTCCACCTGTTTCTGTTTGTTCCCGTCTATCTATCCTCCTCTGTTTGTCTGATTGTCTCTGAGTCCTTCTGTCTTTCCGTCCCTGTTTGTCGTTTTCATCTGTCTGTCTATCTGTTTCTGCGTCCTTGTGTGTGTCTCTGTCTGTCTGTCTGCATCAATCAGTCTATCGGTCTGTGTCTTTCTATTTGTCACGGTCTATCTGTGTCGCCCATAATGTCTGTTGTTTGCCTGCCTCTGGTTTCATTCTGTCTGTCTCCATGCTTACCTGTCTTGCAGGGTCTGTCTGTCTGTCTGTCTCAGCGTTTGCCTTTGTGTTTGTCTGACTGTCTCAGTGTTTGTCTGTTGGTCTTAGTGCCTGTCTGTTTGTCTTAGTGCATAACTGTCTATCTGTGTCTGTCTGTCTCTACGTCCATCAGTTCATCCATTCATCAATCTGTTTATCAATCCATCCATCAAAACCTTCACTCCATGTTTGTTGTTTTTTCTTCTAAATTTGAATAACTAAATATAAACCTAAAGTACATTAAAGCACAAGTAGGTACTCACTTCCAATCATCAAATTCTTCATCTGACGAATATGCAATGTAGGGATTGTTGGGTTTGCAGAGGCTTAAACGGCGAGTGCTCTCCTGTCGAGGAACATTAAATGCATTAAGTGATAATTCGGATCTCTGTCTTGGCATGAGAAATAATACATATAGGAATCCCTCTTCAGTCATTAACAGAAGTGTTCTGATGTAAGTGTAATGCTTTTATGAAATGATATGCATCTAAATATTAATCTACATGGTTAATAACTTAAGGCAATTAAAAATGTTCTATCTTTCTCAGGCTAACTGAAGGCTTCTTTTAACTATATCCAGACTATCAAGTAAAGCAAGGAATACTAAAAGTTGTCCACATTAATATCAGTTACAGATGATATATAAAACACAAGAGCTGTCACTAGTTAAGCCATTGCAATTTCTTAGAGGTTATAATACTTGATTTCTTTATTTCTGGAACTTTTAGCGTACAAATGCAAATGCAACAATTACCAGAAGTGGTCATAAATATATTCCTCACCCTTAATTTTGATGGTGTATCACTCCCACTAAAGTAATCACTGGTCAACCTTTCTCGAGTGTCTGCCTCTTTGAAGAATTCCCGAGCGGACACAAATCTCTCCGAGTTTGGTGACGAGGCAACAACCGTTTCACCTGTTACAAGAAATAATAAAAGACATGGTAAAAGACCGGAAAAACATAATGGAAAACAATATTGTCCCCTTCATGAAAACTTATCATACTTATTAAACTACAACATTCAAAAGCATTATGCAAGTAATGAAAAAAGGAGTGGCATTCGGGATAAAAACAAAGAAAATAGCCAAAAACAATGAAAAAAAAAAATAAATAAAGTAGACATGAAAGAGTCTTCTTAGGACTGGTGTGACCACACATGACCTGGATGGAGAATTACTGTGGAGACTGATATCATACAAAGATAATGGCACTCATTTCTGTCTGTATTCCTGATGATCATGTGTATTGAATTGATTTTTAAGTATGAGATGGTCACATCATTACTGAAGCACCCATCATCATCATCCTCATCATCATCCTCATCATCATGATCATCATCATAATAAAAGTAACAATAACAACAATAACAACAATAACAATAATAACAATAATAATATTAATAATAATAATAATAATAATAATAACTCTTCCTGCAAATTCAGGTAATGGGATAAACATGCCAGGTCAGGTAGACCTAGTAATTGACTTCTTGGTGGCTAAATACTTGTGAAGACATCTAAACGAACACAAAATTAGACAAAAACAACAACAACAACAAAATACATACTAGCATACAGTATATGTACCCAATGTTTTTTGTAAAATATTATAATATAGAAAAGGATATCTGACCTGTATTGCCAATCATACCATTACACTATCTATGGTTGCAAGAATGACATTAATTCCAGCCTTATGATAGAAGAACTTTATCAAATTTTAAAGATATATCAAATAAAATGAAGTAAAAAAAAAAAATGGCCTCCTAGGCTTTCCCAAAAATCACAACAGAAAGCTTTTTTCTACCTTCTGCAAGTCAAAAGGTCAACGTTCATTCTCCCTTTACAGGATTCATTTTGTTCACATAAAAATTACCATTTGTGCAAAATTATATATACACTAACAAAAGAACACTTTAATAATAAATGAGAAAAGCTAAAACAGATGTTCTCTAGCACCTATTTTCTTGTGATTGCAAGGAACTAGGAGTTATTATATATTTTAAGCAAAATTGATTATCTATTCTGAAAATATAAAAAATTACATATCCAGACTGAAGTTTAGCAAGACTAAAATACATGTCGTTACTACAAACAGAAGACTAATTACCTGCATCAAGAGTTATATTACCATATAATATTTTACATTAAATTAATATTATCCATTTCCTCTTTTCAATACATGTTATTAAGAGATTATGCCATGTTCTTTTTCTTTTTTCCTAATTTTATGAAACCAAAAGCAAGGTATATCCTTCAAAAGCATGCTAACTTCACTCACTATCAGGCTTTATTGAAAATTCATTTTGAGTTATTAATCTTTAAATATTATATATATATATATATATATATATATATATATATATATATATATATATATATATATATATATGTATATATATATATATATATATATATATATATATATATATATATATATATATATGAAAGTCTAGGTTTCCTAAATGACATAGATTTGTCACTGGTATGGAAAATTTTTAACCCAGAAGCACCTTTATGGTTTTCTGTGTACTGCTTTAGATAATTTTGTTGGTAGCTTTGTAGAAAAAAAGTTGAATTAGTATTACAATTATCATCATTATTAGTAGCAATGTTATAAAAAGCAATAGTAGTAAAAAATTTAAAAATATCCTTCCCAAAAATTCAAGGCATCGGAGTAAACAGGTGGAAGTCAAGTAGGAATAGGCATCGACTCATTATTCATTAAGCACTTCTACATATAAACAAATATTAAAACTAATCCAAAGTGGACCGTTTATGAGTACATGCACATCAGGCTTCTACAGGTGAACATACCAACTAGAATATTACAGAAGTACACCAAACATTTGCCATCACTTTTAAATTTCAAGTGCACTTAACCCCTCGGCAACGGTGATGGCTATAGCTATCATGACACAAGAGCCATTGACTTGTAAACGAGCCATTACTTGCTGCGGGTTGGCCTTGCTTTACATAGCTTCGGCTTAGCCACAAAGCCTAGACTGCTGCGTAATATTATATAACAATTAAGGTTAAACATCCTTAAATACAGATAAATCTGTTGCCAATAGAGCACCAATAAAAAATCACGTTAAATATATGTAGTGTTTTCAAATACAAATATGTACTGAAATAATGTTACATACATTTACAGACAATGATACTTCATGCTTTCCAAACTCTCATGGAAATCAGAATATAATTCCTTCTACTAAGGAAATATACTAAGATTAGTCAGTATTTTTGATTTTCATTGAGTGAAAATTTTGCTTCCAAATATAGTTATACAGTCAATAAACATAATGGACATCAATATGAAAACATAATTCTGATGAACCATATTTATTGCTACAAATGTAGAAACAGTATGAATGAAAATTAATATCTACAATATACAGATGTGTATTTGACTCATTTCATCTATATCTTTGGCAAGTATTTCTGCCTAAGATATAATCAAAACAGTCAAATAATCTCTTGTATTGCAAAGATATTTATTCTTATGCATACCTTTTCTACAAATAATTTCATCTGACCAAACTGACTAAATTCAGATTAGCTACAGCAATTGGCAATTCTTATACTTATTCTATACTCACATACCATTTTGAATTTACACGAAGACCATTACAATAAGACCCATGGTTATGATCTCCTCTTGAATTGAATTTAGTTAAGTTTACAACTGCAGTTCCATCGTTAAAGTGACAACAATTGCTGAATGCTTAACAGTTTGTGAGTTATTATACTGGCGATGTGCTTTGTTTTACAATTATTTACAAAAGAAATACACTGAGCAGCTCTGGGCCCCAGGCTGCACACCAATAAGCAAAGGCCAATAAACCTCCACCTTGTATATTTTATCAAGATAAAGCTTGGACCAATTCCTTATTTGACATTAACCGTCACTGAGGTCTACTGGCTAAATAAAATTACTATTTATCTATTTAACCTAAAACTGAACACCTGTAAACAAATACACATGCTAATGATATTACCCTGACACCTACATATGCTATCATAATAGACTGATGACTATAATTGCTGGTGACATGAGACTGACAAATGACTTTGCAAAGGACGTGCATTTATTAGCTGATCATGCTAGAGGGCGAGTTTTGACAACAAAGGGAGTTTGGTAAGAATTATACAAGCAATATCTGAAACTGCACATCAGGGTGGAGGAAAGTGTGTAAATATTTAATGTAAGTGAGCATAAATAATATAATTTCTTAATAAAACATTAAAGAAAAGCCTCGATAATAAACACTCCAAAATATCAGCATTACTTACAACAGTTCATACTCTAACCTTAACTAGAAAAACACAAAACATTTACCTGTGAGACTCCCTTCTTCAAAGCCTGATTCAGATGATTCTACAATTGCAGGTAGCGAGGTATTTTTGGTCGGAGTAAAGAATCCCAGCACACTGTTCCGGACAGTTTCCGCGATGCCTCCTATGCCTCCATTTGCATCCACCTGTGTTGCAGCCTGGCTTCTGGAGTCCGTTGTGGTCCGATAGGTGGTCGTCTCTCTGCTCTCACTTGATGTTACAGTTGTCTCCTGAAGATGAAATATTGAAATTAATGAAATGATCATGCTCTTCCACATTCATGTCTATAAAATACTACTCAAAAAGCTATTCCAATCATGTGATGTTCTCAAAACCAATAACTTTAGAGCAATGAAGTATTTTTTTAATATAAATTATCATAGATACTTTCATTTAAAAAAAATATGAAATCTATATAAATTGACATTCATTTTCAATTTTAGCCTTCTAGAATATTTAAAAAAAAAATTAAAAGTATATCTACAATAATAATTGACTCATGAGATTCAGTAACAGAAAAATCTGCTCATGGAGTATTTCACTCTACATAAAATTTGTATTTCAAACCTTAAAACAATTCAACATTCATAATCATCATCTTGAACAAATGCTCACATACATAAGCATAACTTCATCCCTACAACCAGACACTTGTACCTGACAATCACAGACTAAGACAGACAGACAGACACAAACAGAGACTCATTCATACCGAAGGCAGACTCAAGCAGAGGTACAAATGCACATATACACACACTGACAAACAGAAGTATACACCCCCAAATCTATATATGTACACATGCACTCACCCCCAAATCCATTTATGTATCCACACATGCACAGTGCACACATACCCACATGCACATCCTCCCTCCCTCACTCACATTTTCACTCACTCACTCACTCACAGACCATATACTTCTTTTTTTCTAATTAAGAGCAAATCATTTGATTTCATCTAAATTTCATATACAAAGCTCATAAAACAAAATAACGACTGCATATCCTAATTTAGGACTTCACTACTTCACATCTGTCATATTAAAAAATGACATAAAAACAAATTCAATAATTCAGAAATAAATACATATCTTCTACCTATCCACTTAAATAATGTACTAAGGTATCGTATACTATAATACAAAGGGAAACATAGGGAATTTTACTTTTTCTTGTTATTCTAAATGTCTCATACTCCATTGGCCAAGTCCAGTGATGATGCGGTCTCCGCACATCATGTTCAAGTAAAAACAAACAAAACTACATGTATATCTCAAGAAGATAGAGCTTGCAAAAACACAAGTAATTCATCATCAAATACAAAACCTGTGATTATTTATCATTATAAGTGATATATCAAATAAAGTATCCATAACCAATAATTTACCATTAAATAAGAAACCAGTCCAAACACTATCTTCTCGAATATACGCAGTGGAGTATTGGTCTTTGCAATAGGTGGAAAAACACAGGTGCTATTTTACTTAAGACCCATTCTGAACAATTACCTTCCAATACTCACAAAACTGGTAATTTCTCTCACAACTATCAAGTTAAAGTTTCTTATTCTCGTTCATTCTATCCATTAAACAAAAAATCCTCAGTCTCATTCTATCCAATAAATGTAAAACAACATCAGTTTCGTACAAAATAATGTATTACAAATACATTACAATAACTAGAAGCGTCGCTATAGCCTATCTCTGACCACAAGGTTGTTTTGAATAAATTGTCTAAAAAGTCTGTCTGTTCTCTTTATCTGCTTATATTTCATATTCTAAAGAGGAAAACTTTAAATTCGAAACGTGAGGAGTGAGACATAATCTAAGGAGGGTTATGGCTGGATGGACCTAATTGCACTACAGAAATGTTTATGCTAATCACAAATAATATTATGAAACACTTGCATATATACATTAATATATGAATCTGAATTGATAATTCCACATAGGAAGATAACTAATCCTTGGCACATAAATCACATGAGGAACTACTTAAAAATTTGAC